CTTTAAAGCTGAGGTACCAAACTTTTAAACCACATGAATGGAACTATGTAATAAAACCAAAACTCAAACCCTCACTCTCAAACACATTCATCGTTTTCACATGTGTTTTTAGCGTTGGGTGAAACCAGGCAATTAATAGATCTCCAGTTACCGAAACATTATTATGAAACCTTGCGGAAATATTTTCTTGTCGTGTCTCAGGAAAGGATTTGCTTTGATCTTTCCCGATATTTTACATACAAGAAACAGCTTTAAGGATTTAGTTATTTTTGTCTTCCTTTTTTATCTTTGTTAAACCCCATCCTTTCCCTTGTTCCACCACTTACATGACCGCTAAGGCCGACCGCATGCTGAAGACAATTAGAGGTCTTATCACAAATACTACGCTTAAATGAGCAAACCAAACACCAACTCCACGAGGGCTCAAAGCTAACTGAACTCGGCCTGTCTCGTCCTTTTTTTGAGAAGTGGCCAAGTCAAATAGAGATCTCGGAGATGAGGAGGCACTTTTTGCACACACACACACACACACACACACACACACATTTCTGGGAGAGTTTTGTGTGTGCCGTTTTGGCTTGCTTTGACTGATATCCCCAGGGATGAGAGGGAGAGGGAGAGAGAGAGAGAGGCCAGGCCCTGAGCTCCTCTCCTGCTCTTTTGTTTACACTGATGGTTTCCAGATGCTACAGCCAGTGATCGCGGCGCTAACAGAGCTCTGTGGCCCCATGTGAGCAGGCTTAAGGCGGGGCTACAGAGTCTTAAAGGATGAGTTTTTAAATAATTATGAAAACGTTATACTTCCCACATAATTATTTGGAACTTTTTACATAACTTTGTTCTCTAATCAAAAACAAACATGGGATTTTGCTTTCTTTAATCATGTTTGCTTGCTTTGAGGCTCAGATTTTGTCATTTTCATTTTGCCTGAAATGTAATGGCTCTGATAGAAACATCAACAGATTTTGCAATTGCACCTCACAGTACACAACATACTGTATACACCTTGCCCTGCTTGGCCTGTGTTTCCACCCTGATAAATCAGTACCAGGTACTTTTTTAGTATCTGCTCAGGCCGAGCTGGGACCAAAGTGCTCCAACTGCCAGTGCTTGGCTGCTGGAGGCCGTGGTTACGAAGGAATTTCATTTGATATTGGTTTACTAAATACTAAAGCAGATACTAAAGCATAATGAAAACGCATGAAAACGCAACCAGGTAGAGCCGAGTAGAGTAGTGTAAAGTAGAGCTGAGAAGGGGTGGTGGAAATGGGCTTCAGATGTGAATGTTCACAATAACCTATCCAACTACAATTGATTTATGAACAACTCACTTTTCAAATATCTATATATGCAGTATAACCACAGGAAATTAAATGAATGTAATATACTGTTTGGTTCTGTAGTTTTCACATGTATATATTTTTTGATTCTGTCACATCTGTAGATCAGCTTTTTCAGACAGAAAAGTGTAAAAGAGAGGGCCACCCTCACTCAGTCAATCAGCTTTCAGCCCAAACTATGAAATGACTCACAGGGCTCTTAGAAGAAGCAAAACGTGTTTTCTGATGACAGGACTTTCTACTGAGACAAATGTATTCTTGATGAGAAGAACCCCAGCTTTAAGGCCTGTACATGACGTCTTTAATGATATACTTCTACCACGGGGTAATGTCATCACCAGGGTTTTTCCCCAATGTTGACAGTAGATGACTTGCGAGTCAAATCCATCCATTTATTTTCTTCCGCTTTATCCGTTGCTGGGTTGCGGGGGCAGCAGTCTAAGCAGAGAGACCCAGACTTCCCTATCCACAAAACACTTCCTCCAGCTCATCCGGGGGGACCCCAAGGCGTTCCCAGGCCAGCTGAGGAGAAGCAGCAGATCTACTCCGAGCTCCTCCTGTGTGACAGAGCTCCTCATCCTATCTCTAGGGAGTGCCCCAACTAGACACATGGAGACACTGAATTGCATTTGTACGTGATTAATCCCTAGTCCTTCAATTTACAATGTGAAACAAATACATGACCCTCATTGCATGCAGAATGACATGTGTCAAGTCTTTGTCTGTTATAATGTGGATAATTAATTTAATAATTATCCACATTAGGGAGCATCCCTCCACTGCACAGCCCAGTCCTCATTCTACAGTCTGAGCCCTGGATCTATAGCCTGGCCCTCCGTACAGGGATCTCTCTCTCAATGTGGGCCTCCCTGAGGTTTCTCAGTTTTTCACCGGTGTTTAATTTTTTGGCCTTATTTAGGACAGTGATGATCAGGGATTATGCACATTTATTAGCATTTATTTACATTTTTACACAGTGGTCATCCCGCTCCCTATGGACCAATGGCTCCAATGTGTTTGTTGTCTTTGCACTTCCAGTGTTTGAACTGTTTGGTCCTCTGTTCTGTGTTGAGGAATAAACAACTTTGTAAAGTTATACAATAACACTTTTGAATTCATTATGGCTTACAGTCCATTTGAGATGTTTTAGTTGTTGTGAACCAATTATCAACATTATAGCAAATAAAGGCTTGGCAATGATACAATAAAGGCCAAGCGGCTAAGAGTCTGTCAAGTACTAGTTTCACAGTTCAATTACAGACGTCAACTTGCTGACTTTCACCTGTTGTACCAAAAGCTCCAAAAAGGTTGATTTGACATTATATCTTCCCCTTTAAGTATATTTTTATTTGAGAAAGTGAAGAGAAAACATGTTCCTATAAACTGTTTTCTAAAAGGCATTGGTAGTAGAAGGCAATTCCATGACAAGCTTGAAACATCTTTAGTTTCACATTATGAGGCAGCCACAGCGGACACACGAGACTTCTAAACATGCATGAAGGAAACCCAGCTATGCTTTTGATGAGGCAAACCAATATAACATGTTTGCATGTAAAATAAGCTCTTTAAACGTAGCTTTGTAATGACTCCACCACAAACACTGATGATAATGAAAGATCGACCATTTGGTTTGTGCGGGAAGTGGCCCTTCTGTCACAATGGCAATCTCCTTTGACTCGGAAAGCGTGCGCATTTCATCCCATTAAATATAACTATTGGACACCATGTGGATTAATTGCATCTGTATTTCATTAACATATTTTCCTGGCTGGGTAATTTGACTGTATATTTGCTCAAACAGGCCACAGCCAGGCTTTTGTTATGATACTGATTGGAAGGGGAGATTTTGCAGCTTGTAATTTTCCTCGACTTGTGTTGTTGTCTTTAGGGCCTTCCATAAATGATGTCATGAAAGAAACAGCGCATGCATACTGCTTACAAGTGGTCATTGTGCAAGAGGAACAACTTGTGATAAAGATGTCTCAGGAGGCGACGCGTTCCAATAGAGGAAACTATTACAGCGTTTCGTAACGATGGTATGTAAGGAGGATAAAGGAGGAATGCAGTATAAACAAGCATTATTCACTGGGGTTGTATGCGAACGGACAATTAAAGTAGTGTTCAAGAATCTCATGCTTTTGTGGCTGTTTAGTAGTTTGTCGTCTTCATCAGATTCATGCATCTTGTTGTCTAAAATCTACAACCTTAACATATGAGGCAGGCTTCTACTCTGACAATGTTCAAATCCAGGTTAAAACAGTTGTCAAGTTGTGGATTTTGTGTTATTGTGGTTTTATTTTGACATGGTTTGGTTTTAGTTTTGCTTCCTGTCTTGTTGATTGTCTGCCCCGCCCTCATGTGTCTCTCTGTGTCTATACTATGTACCTGTGCTCCTCTCCCCTTGTTGCTGGTCCATTGTATTGTCAATGTCTGTTCTGTTCCGTCTCGTTCCTCATTCCTTGGATTTTTCAGCAGTTGTTTTTTTTTTACCTTGGGCTTTTATTTATCATCTTTTATTAAACCATTATTTTGTGTTCCTGCATTTTGAGATCTCCTCCTTTCCACGTCAGTTCTGTTATCTGTGCTTTGTTGTGTACTGCGATTACTTATGATTTGAATGTTTCCTTTCTTGTTTCGTTGAGAGCTTTGAGTTGATAAATTCCAATAAACTTGCCTCACCTATATGCAAATGGTCTATATGCCTATAGGCTATAGGCTAATGATCATTTTCCTCGTCACATTCTAACAATTCAAATCTGTTGTTTTACGAATGGAAAAGGCTTGTGGATATTACAAACACAGACAGAACTCAAGAGATGTCACTTGAAGACTACCTGGAAAATCAGGTTTCTACAAATAAAAGGTATAAACATAATTTCCTTTGTTATTTGGATCTACCTCATGAAACTTCTCTCAGGTTGTGGTTAGTTTGGAGACCTGATCATTTAATAAATATTGTTATGTAGTACCTGTAAAAGGCTTAGGTTGGGCAAGTTCATTTGTGTGGAGCAATTAATACTCATACTTTACAAAAAATAAACTTGATTTGTAGTCACAAAAGACACAAAAAAGTTGTTGTATGCATAGTTAAAATATGTGCAAAAATAAGTTAGTTCTTGGAATCAAATAAAATACAATGCAATAATTGTTCAACATCACGATCATAATTCCTTCAAACAAAATAAAAAGTTCAAAGTCGTGCCTAAAAGGGGGTGCATGAGTAATTGTGCTACATTTGAAATTTATGTCCAAAGAAAGGACAACAAATTAAGTGATCCTCCAAAATATGTGGTCGTAAAATAAACTGCAAAACAGATATCTGAAAGAACAGTGTCAAAAACACATAAATCATAGCGTCTTTTGAACTACTACAAGTATAATCCAAGGAGTAAGCAGGCACAAAGCTGTCGGCGCTGCGTTTAGTCCCTGTGCTATTTAACGTCCAAACAAAGATTTTTGACCAAAACCAAAGTGAATCCGTCAGCCCAACTCTCCAACACTCCTGCCAAGCGATACAATTACATTACTATTCAGAAGTCATCTTTCTCTCAGAGTAAGACCATAAACACTCGTAACTTTATACGTTTTCCACCTCCAAAAACAAAAGCCAATTGTGCCGGAGCGAGGCGAGATTTATCAAGTGCCCACCTGCTCCTCTTGTCACTCTGTGTGGATCTGAGCCTTCGAAAGAGCCAGCTGCACCAGTAAAGAAGGGCTGAAGAGGGAGAGGGAGGCCCCGAAGATGCTGAGGAGGGAGGGGGAACAGTGCTCGTATTTAGGGCCCTGCGTACATGCTAGGATTGATAAAGAGTTCCCAAAATGCACCTGGTCAGCGCTTTGGCATCAGCGCCGTGGTGAGGTCCAGCGGCGGAAAGAGCCAATGAAAACATGCTTGTTCTGAGGAGGCCTGTGTCGTCCAGGGGAGAGCCATCTGCACTGCCTCGTTTGGCCCCGAGTCTGGACTGACAGGCGCAGGAGCAGCATGGACTGAGCAGACAGCGCCGTGATGTCAGATGAAGCAATGACACGTGGGATAAATGAGCAGATAGAAAGATGCGAGCGGAGCGGGGGTCCAGCCAAGACGGAAAACAGCCAAAAACTCACTCTTGTAGATTATTTACATATGTGAAGAAAAATGTGTTTTAATACGTTTATATTGGATTTAGAATTCGTTATTCAATGCACTTGCAGAAAGCACTTTGATTCAGCATGTGGGCAGCCTGCTTGGGCTGGAAGTGAAATTACCATTTAAAATCACCATAGGAGAAATGCAGTGGTTCCAGCAAAAGAAAGCACAGTTAAACATGTTTTTAAATACAAACATACATTATACATTAATGTAGACTCTGTGGTCGTTACCCACCAGGATAGCAGATCAACACTTTTTATTGTACATAATTATATCCTGCACAGACTATATTAACCTTTAACTGTGCCAAATGTGACATGTACATTTTGTGTATCTTATCTATCCATCCATCCATTTTCTTCTGCTTTATCCGTTGCCGGGTCGCGGGGGCAGCAGTCTAAGCAGAGACGCCCAGACTTCCCTATCCACACACACCTCCTCCAGCTCGTCCGGGGGGACCCCAAGGCGTTCCCAGGCCAGCTGAGAGACATAGTCTCTCCAGCGTGTCCTGGGTCTTCCCCGGGGCCTCCTCCCGGTGGGACGTGCCCGGAACACCTCCCCAGGAAGGCGTCCAGGAGGCATCCTGAACAGATGCCCGAGCCACCTCAACTGGTTCCTCTCGACGTGGAGAAGCAGCGGCTCTACTCCGAGCTCCTCCCGTGTGACAGCTCCTCACCCTATCTCTAAGGGAGCGCCCAGCCACTCTGCGGAGGAAGCTCATTTCGACCGCTTGTATCCGCGATCTCGTTCTTTCGGTCATTACCCACAGCTCATGACCATAGGTGAGGGAGGGAACGAAGATTGACCGGTAAATTGAGAGCTTTGCCTTTCGGCTCAGCTCCCTCTTTACCACAACGGTCCGATACAGAGACCGCATCACTGCGCACGCTGCACCGATCCGCCTGTCAATCTCACACTCCATCCTTCCCTCACTCGTGAACAAGACCCCGAGATACTTGAACTCCTCCACTTGAGGAAGGACCTCTCCACCCACCTGAAGAGAGCAAGGCACCTTTTTCCGGTCGAGCACCATGGCCTTGGATTTGGAGGTGCTGATTCTCATCCCAGCCGCTTCACACTCGGCTGCAAACCGTCCCAGTGCATGTTGCAGGTCCTGGTTCGTTGGAGCCAGCAGGACGACATCATCCCCAAAAAGTAGAGATGAAATCCTGTGGTTCCCGAACCGGACCCCCTCCGGCCCCTGCCTGCGCCTAGAGATTCTGTCCATAAATACAGTGAACAGAACCGGTGACAAAGGGCAGCCTTGGCGGAGGCCAACATGCACCGGGAACAGGTCTGACTTACTGCCGGCAATGCGGACACAGCTCTGGCTCCGGTCATACAGGGACCGAACAGCCCTCAGCAAAGGACCCCGGACCCCGTACTCCCGGAGGACCCCCCAAAGGACACCCCGGGGAACACGGTCGAACGCCTTCTCCAAATCCACAAAGCACATGTGGACAGGTTGGGCGAACTCCCATGAACCCTCGAGTATCCGATGGAGAGTATAGAGCTGGTCCAGTGTTCCGCGACCGGGACGAAAACCACACTGCTCCTCCTGAATCCGAGATTCGACCATCGGACGTAGCCTCCTCTCCAGTACCTTGGAGTAGACCTTACCGGGGAGGCTGAGGAGTGTGATCCCACAATAATTGGAACACACCCTCCGGTCCCCCTTCTTGTAGAGAGGGACCACCACCCCGGTCTGCCACTCCATTGGCACTGCCCCCGATCGCCACGCGATGTTGCAGAGACGTGTCAGCCAAGACAGTCCTACAACATCCAGAGACTTTAGATAGTCAGGACGGATCTCATCCACTCCCGGCGCCTTGCCACCATGGAGGCTGCCAACCACCTTGGTGACCTCGGCCAGGGAGATGGAAGTATCCGCCCCAACATCCTCAGCCTCTGCCTCCTGGACGGAGGACGTGACGGGGGGATTGAGGAGAACCTCGAAGTATTCCTTCCACCGCCCGACAATATCCCCAGTCGAGGTCAGCAGCCCTCCACCCGCACCGTACACAGTGTTGGCAAAGAACTGCTTCCCCCTCCTGAGGCCCCGGACGGTTTGCCAGAACCTCTTCGAGGCCGACCGATAGTCATGCTCCATGGACTCTCCGAACTCTCCGTGTATCTTATCTTATACTTTTAAAAGGTTTCCATTATCGATTTTATCTTTTATTATCTCTTATAGAAAAATACATGCATTTGCTATTTGTGGGCGGGTTCTTTGCAGCTCCATAATTGTTTTCTTCTAATATATATTTTGTTTTCATTTGAATACATAAATAAATATACTATAATGGGAAATTTGTAAGTTATTTCTCTTGGTCATCAATCAGGGAAACTGTATTTGTATTATCCCAAATTTGTGATCAAAGGGTTTTAAAGTTTTTGTAGAAGTTTTTTAGACCCTGAACATATATTTACGTCTTGTATATGTACAAGATACACTAGTCAAGCAGCACATCTGGTGGTTTACACTTGACAATTTCATAGTATTTTCAACTTTGTAAAGGGTTGTGCGTAATGTCATCAGTCACATATTAGTCACGTTACATTCTACAGGTGCCCATGGGGGACAAACTGAGCAGCATGCATGACATATGAGCATGGGAAATATGTTCTCTGTTCTCATTTTTCACAACAAGCCACTTCTCTGCCCTTTCACTGACTCCAATCTTCCCTCCGCTTTACACGTTTGCGGCCCCATTTTTGACGTATGTTGTGTTATTTGTTTTGTATAGACGAGATGAAATTGTGCTTTCTGAATTTGTACAACCTCAATTTCTCCAAATTGTGCTGTAAATAACCCCAGGGATATTTTCTCCATCTTAGTTTATTTTGCAAATTAAGTGTTAAGTAATGGTTTAATGCAGATCATACTGAGACACAAAAACAACACAAGAATCTAGTTAGATTCAGAAAATGCCACCTCTTTAGTCATCTCAGCTCATCAACAGCAACAATTACACAAAGTCATGGCTCGCACCAGCTGGATGATTACACTGTGATCTGCTTTGAAATGTTGGGAAAGGGTCTAATAAAAAGGACATTTGTTTCCTGTATGTTGCACCTGGGGCGGTGAAGGAGACCAGCAGACCATCATTTCTTTGCTGGGTGTTTATGATAAGAAATTGCAAACATTTGGACTTCTTAGTGCATCATCCTCCCACAATGAAGACTATGGACATGAGGCCATATGCTGCTTCATGTGGAAAAAACAACATCTGACAATGTCCCATATTGGACTCATTAACTTTTGTCTGGTATAGAATCTGTGACACAGTGCTGTGGATCATTCTTATATGTTTGCAGCTTTTGAATTTCTAATATTGATCCAAAACAACTTTTACTTTGCCCCATTTACGTCACATAGACTGTATATAGGAATGGAAATAACCTGCTATAGCTCTATGAAGCCTAAAGGGGTAGTGCTCATTATGAAAAAGTGGGTAGGCCTCTCGCTTCTCAGCAAGAAGGTCCTGGGTTCAAAGCCAGGAACAGGGCCTTTCTGAGTGGAGTTTGCATGTTCTCCCCGTGTCTCCTCCGGGTGCTCCTGTTTCCCCGACCACTAAAAACATCTATAATAGGTCTGGCATGCGCCTCCTGTACTGGCGACCCCGCTCCCATCTCTGTGTGGAGTGAGAGGACAAGTGCCCAAAAATAACAATTGTAAACCGCTTTGTGACTCTGGTCTGTGAAAGGCGGTATATAAATAAAGATTACTTACTTACTTACTAACATTGAAATGTAAACTCCTCTAGCTCTGCAACCTTTTGCGTCACTCTCATGTTTTTATGTTGATAAAGTCTTAGTAAATCCAGATATGACTCCCAACAACTGACCAAACAAGTGCCTTCTGTCTCTAAATTCGGCTTTAGCTAGCCAGTAGCACAATGCAGACCCCTGATTGGCTCTTTGGTTGCTAGGTTGTTGCGGAATTTGGCTCCACAGGGTTAGTTCTAATCGGCTTCTTCCGCAATAAAGCAAACACTATGATGTTTTTGCTTCTTGTCAGCACTCTGTACACTGCTTCTTCGATCTATGACACGTCACTATAAATTTCATCACAGCAAAGTGCCGACATGGCAGCAACTCCAGGTAAACCGAGCAACCAGACAGATCGACAAAGCAGTATCATAAAACATTCAAAGCAATATCCACAAAACAAGCCGACCCAAAAAGAAATAAAATATGTACTAAAACCTGCTCAAATCAGAAATTAACTGTCTATTAGTTAAATACTTTGATTCTATGACTTTGATCTCATCTAGAGCATCACACTTTTTGCAAATTGTAGGTACTGTAACGCAGCCACATTACATTACTGATACTGCAAAAACAGCCCTCGTATATTACATTAACCCGAGCTTATTGAAAGTCTTGTCAAAAATGTGTTGAGTTTGTTGACAGTGGACGTCCGTGGGCAGCGTAGGTGGATGTCTCCTTAAATCCGCGGTGAGAGTTTGAAACCTCATCTCCGCAGCCTTGGATGGCTGCTAGGGCCCGCTCTCGTCGGGTTTGACTTGGACGCCGCTCGCTGATATTAGGGTCGGGGCTGCGCTGTCCTCCCGCTGAAAGACGGTCGATTAAAGGTTCAGGTTGTGGACGGGCGTCTGGGAGTTTTCCAGCCTGGCTGCTCCTCCGTCTGGCTGCAGTGGAATGGAAGGTTGTAGGATCAGCGTGTAGGCTTCAGACAGGAATCTTCACCGCACGCTTCCAGTGGTTACACAGCGATAGACTTTTGTGCATGTTAAGAGCTCGTCTTACTTTTCGACAAGGCTCAAAGAGCAAAGTGTAGTGTTGCAGTTATTGTGTTTGGAGACATTTCTAACTGGATCGGTTTTTCCCAACGTGCAAATTTCAACGATTTTGCAAGTGATAATAAAGCCTTGAAGTCCTAACTGTGACATAAAGCTGGGGTACTCAAACCATGTACCAAAAAATAACAAAAATCCCCATTGTGACACCGTCGTTATGAAGATATTCTCCGTGGGCATTGCTTGAGCTTTGTTTTGTCAAATGTATGAAATGTACCACAGTCACTGACTTTTTGAGCAGAAGAAGAAGATGTGGGGGAATTTCAATTTGATTAATACAAATATACTCATCAAAGCATGCGGCGTACAGTTGCTTCCGCGCTCCTTACAGGCAAAGTGGGGTAAAGTGTCATGTCCAAGGATACAACGACAGCAGACATCAGTGGGAGTCGGTAGAGAAGGTCTTGTAGTGGGCTTGACAACTATTCAATCATCAAAATATTTGTTAATTGCAGCCTTTTTTCAACCAGACATTCGTCATAGTCAAGAGCCATACAGTAACTGTGTATGTCATTATATAGGAAAAGTGAATTTGCAAAATTGGCTATCTCTGTTAGGAAGATTGTCAAGAAAGGGGTGTTCCTCCAGCAACAATCTTACACTTGTAAAGGTATTTGCTGAAGAAGGGGAAGAATAAAATTTTTATGGCACTAAAATACATCTGCCTTTACAAAAAAACACTTGGTGAAGTGCAAAAATGGAAGGTCTAAGGTTAATTTGGACCTCTGATAGAAGTAAAAAAGAAATTAACTTGTTGAGTTGTTTTGACCAGACATGTTCCTGAATACGAATAAAACTCAAAATGATCAACTTGTAGAATCACATTTCAGAATATTCTACAGCTCAATTGACAATGATAGCACTACTCACTTATCACATATTTCTATCTTTCGCAGGAGTGATTCCCTAACCCCATCGCAATAAGACTCAACCTGATTCAAACTGCTACAATCCCATGTCATTATCAATTTCCCAGAGCGATGCGATTTCCCCTGAACTCCTCAGACGGGACAGTGGGTGTTGTCTAGACCGAGACTTTCTCCTTCAAACTAATTCAAATAGTCTACCTGCGATAGCCTGAATACTTTGCATTCCTTAAACGGCTCATACAGCATCATAATACAGCGTGGACTTGAGGTGAACCGGCATTCCTTCACACATTAATCACACAGATCTAGTTGTGGTTAGTTTGGCTTCTTCTGCATCCCCTGCCCCCCATAGCCTCTCCAAAATGTATGGGCTAATTGAAAACAGAGCGAGGACTTTACGACAGCTCTTCCTATAGAGGCCATCTGCTTTGGATTTGCTTCCTCTGCCCCCCACCCCTCTCTCTCGGTCTTCCTACAGGCCTGATTGGAGGACTTCTTGGCTCACATGTAAAGGAGAGGGTTGCTGTCACTTCTCTCCCGGTTTGTGTGGATTTCAGAGTGCGATTCCTGACCCGAGAGGCTGTTTACATCCGCGCTTTCCCTAACGAGCATTTGATCTTGTGTAATTAGCGCGCTATGTGAAGTCATTGACCCCGCGCCATGGGTGTCCAGTGAGGAGTGTCCGAGTGATGCACTGCTGTATGAGTGCATGCGACTTCTATAGATGTATTCACACTGAGCACACATACAAGATCATTAGGAATGGCTTGATGAAGACAAAACAAAAGTTAGCATTTTAAGATAATTGCCATATGGTAATCAATGCTTTCAATATATTTCAATATATTTTTTGGGATAATAACAATAATGCATCAATTTTGTATAGCGCTTTTCAGGACACTCAAAGACGCTTCACATGTTGTTGTTCTTTCACTCCATACACGGTGTAGCCACAGCTGCCCTGGGGCACACTGACAGAAGCGAGGCAACCAGATTGTGCCATCGGCCCCTCCGACCACCACCAAACATTCACACACACACATCAATCTAGGTAATTTGGGTGAAGTGTCTTGCCTAAGGACACAACAGTTTGGCACTGGCTGTCTCATTTTAAAAAAAAATCTGCATTTTGACACTTATCCCTGCACCTGAAGCAGCGTTCCCCAACCTTGTTGAGCCTAGTATTCTTGTAAAGGCACTATACGGCCAAATATAGCTACTGAACTGGCCATGATTGTGAAAACATGTATTAAGTAGAAAATATTTGGATAGCCATGTATAAATGGATAATACAAATCTCAGCATGTAATTGAAAGGCAGAAGTTAAAGGTAATCAAGCAGTATTATTCTTTAAACTCTGTCTTATTAGAACCTTACAAACCTTAAACATTAAGAAGATACTGTTTTTACATTTAACCAATACTTACAGTACATTTAGTACATCACAACATTCCCTCATATCTGGTACAATTAACTTAGCTTTAAATCTTTGACCACTGATGCACGATATCTGTTACAACACCAACTTTCACCAAAGACGTTCAGAGCTTAACCAGGCCACAGTACGTCCCAAACTGTCAGGTTCAAAGCCAGCACCAGGTGGAAACAATCCAGTAACCTTATCGTGAGGGGTCGCACAAGTCTCAGCGCAATTTCTCACACGCTACACTTGATTATGGTCAAGTTACACTGGCAGAAACATTCTTGACAATGACTGATAGTGAAGCCGGAATCGTTTGTGCCATTTACAAATGCAAACTCGAAAGCGAAGACAGCTTCAGCGGATGAAAAATGCTGATAATGATATTTTTTTACATATTGAATGATGAGCCGAGAATTTTTTTTCTACTGTGACATGTCGAGTTCAGCATGACAAAACAGAGAGAGAATCAAACCAAGCAGCCCCTGAAGTCCCTGACCTATGTGGGTGCGTGTTTGCTTTTCCGTGTGTGGCCGTGTTTGACATAGAGATTGCATCAGAGAATGTTGGCGTATCACATGTGCGTCCACGCTTCATTTGGAGCGCGCTGACCTGTGCTGGGCCTGATACGGAGCCCCTACTCAGGATGTGGTCAGATGGCTGCGGTCGCCAATGTTTTACTCACAGCTGTTATCTGTGCTGTAGGCTTAGTGGGACAGGAGGAGAAACCAGAAACTTTCCAATTCAAAAGCTTTCCTCTATATACATTGTGCACAAGAGCATTATCTCAAACGTCTCTGTCCCTCTGAGCAAAAAAATGGGAATTTTGAACAAAAACCCTGAGGCACCCTTTCCTTACTTACTGAAAAAAATACCCAGAATTGTGTTCTATTTGAGGACCCTGACAAACTGTTTTATAGGACATTGTTTACATATGTCAGGGGAACCAGGAAAGTCCCTCTGAGATTTAAGAATCTCTTTTTCAGAAGTGTCCTGGCCCTAGGCAGGAGGGAGTTACAGAGAATATTGCACATTTTTAGTGGTACGGGAAACCTATGCAGACACAAGAAGAACATGCAAACTTCATTCAGTGCCGACCAGGATTTGACCTTCTTGCTGAGAAGTGATTATGGTAATAGTGAGCATCATAGTGTGGGATTTTGCACGCTCCACACACATTCCTTAATGAAGTTGCTCTTATAATATATTTGAATATGTTTATATCGCTCCATATGGATGAAAAACTAACTTTAAAAGACTTATTTTGAATGTCAGAGGTTGTTTAGACCCTTTTATTTTGACACCTTCCTGTCTTTAACACAAGTCCAAACCACACCAACCTTTCCCACATGGAACCAAAAGCCTAAAAACATACATTGTTTATGTTGCCATCTGCTGGCTAAGTTAGAAGAGGAGCAGGGAAAAATGCAAAATTAGCAGCAAAGCTATGTGCGATTGAAAAGTTCACTTACAAAAACAGATATCTGCTTTGAAAGTTGTATTCCTCTAGCGACAATCTTCAACATGCTTTGTCATTGGAAGTACATTTGAATGAAGGGGTGAAACTTTATTTGCATCACACTAAAATAGATTGCAAATTAACTATTCAATTAGGTGTATTGTGGTGCAAAATAATGAAATATCTGTACATTCTCGAAAAGTAGAAAGTCAAACTACACATTTCTGTTTGTCTTTAAAGTAAGTCTGAACATGGTGTGGGGAAGAGGGGGGATCACGTTGAGATTTTGCTCACACATGGATTTGATTTGCTGTAGACCACACAAACATAGAATATTTGGTTGTTTTGGGAAATTATATTGTATGAATAGAGGAAGAATTTAAGAATATATCCTTATGACGACAAAACACACAATATGCTTTTCCTGCTACTCTGAAAATAAACTATATAAGCTCACAATATTAAAATCTATTGATAGTAACATACATTGGATAGACAGATCCCTATCTTCATATGAGATGGGGGTTAGTGAAAACATCTCCCTGATCTCTCAAACTATAAAAATGCATACTGTATTGTGTAGGATTACCCACACATGCATGAATCACCGTATAATGTATTTTTGCTCTGTAAGTACAATATTCTGTTCCTATTTTGGACTCTGAATCATGTGGGGAACGTGCCAGTTTATTTTTTTTCATTTTTTATTTTTGGTTCTTGCTCTGGTGATAGGACTGTCCAGGAACCTTTTGTAGAGTGATGTACAGTAGAGTACAACACTCATTCTCAGATCTATCTACTTTCTATTTATGTGGGCCAAACCTACAGTGTATAAACGTGAATAATGCCCATCATCACGTTCTCGCCAGCGCTTCCCAGCCCAATGCCCAGCCCGATCTTCCGTTTTTCTAATAACAAATTATGTTAAAAACTGTCATATTAAGGCTCCTTCTCCACCACAAAACTGCTCCAGATATGCAGGACTGACAGCGGCTTCTCCAAATGTCCTGATATCAAACTAATAGCAGCGTATGTTTATTTCCGCGCCCGTGTGTTGGAGTGTGTATGTGAAACCCAGTTGGTTGAGACCTGGTTTAGACCGGGCCCGACCCTAGTTCAAGATTTTTTTTGATTGTCCTTCTGTCTGCTAATTTACGACACCCATGCATTACAAGAACAAACGTGGGGCAGAGAGGGAAGGGGTGAGGATGCTGTAAAAACAATCCTGGTGAGAACCCCTGCCGGTAAAAACAGTAAAAATAAAAATAAATACAGCAAGTAATTTCATGTTTGCACCTTTACATTGGGTTCTACATTGAATTCTCTAAGCTAATTACTTATGTCCATGTTCCCCACTGCTCATAGTCATTCCCAGCCATTTTTACAAACTGAACACAAACCAAATGGAAATGAGTGCTTCCGATGACTAAATAGTGACCGGGTGGATAATAGGGAGTTATTACAACACCTTTGAAAACCAACAGCCTCAACCTCAACACTTTTGAAAGGAGGTCACTCTTCCATTTGGCATGTACTCTGACGCAGGAGCAAAGAATACACACATCCTCCAGCACATCTCCAGAGCCTCTGCTGACGCGCTCCCATTAACTGCGCTTGCGTTGGCTCTACTTTAAAAGCAAAGTCGTGTGGGTTTTTTCCCTGGAATCTGACGACAAAAATCACTCTGAGATTTCTCCTAATGTAATAGTGACATTATTTTTGCAATACTGGACACGACTCAGGTTTGTTTTGGAGATTTGTGCGCTTGGGGTGGAATGTGTAGTTTATGGCTGTGGCGGCGGTGAGCGGGACCTCCGTAGAGAATACAAGGGTGGATGTTGCGAAGAGCTTTCAAAACACTGTCCGCACGCTGATTTTAAAAAGCCCGGATTTATAACAAGACCAGACCAAATAACCGCTGGAGAAAGATGGGTCATTCTTGGAGCGCCATAAACATAGGATTAGCCAATAGCCGCTGCGCAAATGCAATACTTTAGGCCAAACATCAAATATGTGTTGGAAGATTTTACATACACTCCTACTGATAATAGATACTGTAGCAACGCAATCCATCAACAGGGCCTCAGATGCACTTAACTGCGTAAGACATTTAATATAAAAAAACAACCTTTTGGTGATTAAAACATGTTTGATTTGTGATCTGGCAACGCAAGCGGAGCAGCTCTCTTTGCATGCTGATTGGATTAAATGCTAAAGCAGGAGTTCTCAAATGTTGTGACACCGTAGGGTCATTTATCGGTCAGAAAATATTCCCTCAGCCCCCCCCCCCCCATCGTGCTCCTTCATTACGTCAAAAGGAAATACAAAAGCAAATGTAAGAAAA